GCTGGTTTAAAGGCCTGTTTTTGCTTGTCCCTGTGCCACTTTAAATTCTGTCTGTCTGCAAGTATTGAACTGAACGTGAAACAGAGAGACTACAAAAAGCAACTTTCACACATCTAAAAACAAAACAAAAAAGCTAACAGAGGTGTTGTGTTTCTTTCAGGTACTGACTGTGTTGAGTCAGCATATATCTCTAAGCTCCTAGGCTGTCACTGTCAATCTCCATCTCTCCATCAGACCCTGCTCTCTTCCTTCTTACTTTCTTCACGGCATGATGAGTCATGCTTTTCAATGACTCATAACCTTTCTCCTTCCCTTTATTTGAACCTCACGTTTTCCATTTCTAGTCATCTCTTATTTCTACAGCTTGTTAGATTCTAACAGTGCTGACTTAAGGTCTAGACATTTCTACTCACTACTGAAACAGCAAAAGCTATTACAGCTCCAGACTTCCAGCAAATTGGACTTGCACAAATTCAATAACTTATCCCAGCTGGGTAACTTCCTAAACTAACTGTGTATTCAGGTATTGAATTCCTCCAGGCAGCTTCAATGGCTGCTTTAGTAATTGAATTGTTTGATTTAAAATGAGGTCCATGTAAACTGAGACCGCCTCCCTGTCGTCTCTGTGCCCCGAGTAAAAATGCTCATTGCAAAGAAAGAAAGAAGGCAATTTTGGAAAAGCCATGTGTGTCATTTCTCAAGCCACAAAAATATATAAATGCAAATTGTGAATGACCATTAGAAAGACGGAAACTGGTCGATGGAGGGCATGAGTGGGGGAGAGTAGCGCCAGGGATGCATGGCATGAATGATGCAAAGCTTTCTCTCTTCCATTATAGTCTTCCGGTCATTTTAATTATGCAGGTAAACATGCAAGGCAGAATGAGTGAGAGCTGAAACAGGATGAAACACAAAGAGAGCCTGAGGATAAAATGAAGGGATGATGGCGGCTCATGTAGGAAAATAGATCGGACAGAAGTGAGAGAACAAGGGAAGAGTGTTTCAAGGATCTCAGTGCGTTTTTGAAGGTGTCTGCTGGTAATGTTTGCAAATTGATGAGAGGAGTAAGCTAAGGCAAACCTGAAAGATGAAATTGTGGGAAAAAAAAGTTCCTGCTCTGAAAGTTTTTTAAATATTTTTTCAGAACACCTCTTCTGTCTGTGCAGCTGCTGCTGTCAGCAGGTTAATTCTTCACCACCTCAGCATCGTTCCAGTAGAAATGAATGAGCTTTTATCTGTCTGGTAAATAAAAGGCCCTTCTGGTTCTTCACCCACCCCCCACCCCTCTCTCTGCCTACTGCCAGTGCATGCATTGACTCAACTCCGATTGTAATTTGAAGTAGAGAGCCTTCAGAATAGAAGGGGAGTTCGTAAATGGCTTGTAAGAAGTCCACAGTCTTTAGCTCTTTAGTTTCAGCTCGTTTCATTATTTGTGTGAGTGCATGCATGTGTGTGTGTGTCAGGTGATAGGGATGTGTGTGTTGTTCGACCTTTTCTTCCTCAGATCATGTTCATCTTGTCAGCTGTGGGCAATGTGTCTTTTGCAGGTGATAAATCCATTAATCACATTGGCTGTTTGTTGTAAACACGCTGCTCTGCACTCGATGCAAGGTGTCTCACTCGGTGGGTCCCAGGTTGAAACCACAGCTGCAGCTCACTGGAGTGGAACAGGAAAGGCTTCAGCATGTTAACATTTTATTTTGGGGGAAAACATTGTAAGGTTGATATGATCGATGGATAAAAGGTTCTTCTTGGCTCAGAGGAACTGAGTTTTTTTTTTTTTTTTTTTTTTCATCTTAATGCTCCTGAAAGGACGGAGGCTCAGAGGGAGCCGAGTTTTCTCATCGCTGCTCCAAAATTGTGGAATGAACTCCTCCTCCTCAATGGACAATCCTCCAAAAACTATTCATTTTTACAACTAATAAAACCTATTATTATCATCCTTACATTTATTTTATATAATTTGGTTTTCTTGGTATGTACAGCACTTTGTGGCAGCTGTGGTTGATTTAAAAGGCTTTGTAAATAAAGTTGAGTTAATGTGACTAACCTTGTTAAATAAATCTTCAGATGCAAAAATAAAACAGGGCTGAGGTACAGGTTCAGTCTGGCATTCAGAGTATTTAGACACATCATATCTACCTAACTAGTTTGCTGACAAAGTGTTACCCTTCATGTAAACTGTTTTTATGGTTGTGGACTCTTTTAGCTATAAATCTCCCTGCCACAAAACAAAAATACTTCAAGAATTGTTTTAAGAGCCTATCAAGCAAATTATTTTTTTGACATGGTCTCCAAATTCAACTGAATCTTCCATGACATGAAGAATCTGCAGCTAACATCCTGGTGTCCGAAACCACAGCGAGCCTTCAGGGTCTGGTGTTAATTCCCTATTTCATATACAATTAAAGGAGGGGATGAAGCCGATGCATGTTGTACAAAACACCACAATAAACTCAGCGGTTAGTGGTTGGAGCACCACTACAGTAAATGCTGTATTGGTCTAAGTTCAGTTCTTTCCATACTGGAGTTGTGTCCCCTGATCCTGTAGGCAGTCACATCTTTTCAGCTCACTGAAGCTGGCTGGATGATTGCAAACATGAACAAGTAATCCTTCTGTGCTACTGGGAGCTAACACAATAACAGGCAATAGAAAGGTTACCCTGCAGTAGTTGTGCTGGACCTGTGTGTTCATTTTAAAAGCAGCCAGAGAAGCAAACCTGTCAGGGTCAAGAGCAGTGCATCAATAAACAGCACCACAGTTAGAATACACTTAATAAAACACACCAGAGGGAGGTTACAGGTTCAGGGTAAGTTTGGGGGATAAAGGTTCACTGTTGCATAATGGAAGCAGTTGTTAGACGTGACTTTTTCTGTTACTTTTCAGTCTTAATATAAGTTGAATGTATCTTTCAATGAAATCCATCCATCTATGTAACAGCAGACACAGCCAGAGACCAGAACTGTTGAACTCTCCCTTAATAAGTTCTGATGGAGGATTAACACATCAGATAATAAAAATCTTGCTACAACAGCATTACCAAAATGGCAAATAATGTGCTTTATGACACTTTTATATTTCCAAGAAATCAAAACATGAAATGTTTTGTTATGATTATTTTTTTCTACTGAAATAAAGCACACTTTCTCCTACTTATTCTAACCCTATTGTTATAGCCTTAATGTTTATGCTAAAACTCACACATAATCATTAACAGTTGGTGAAAAAAAATGCTGATTGCATTAATAAAAGCATGACGTTGTGTTCTTCCAGGCATTAAAATAACAGCTGCATGTGGAGCAGTCAGGTGCTTTGCAGCATTCATAGTCATGCTAGAGTCGCCACTCTAACTAATGTGCTCTTATTTAGCCATTAAATCCTTTTAGCTGATGTCAGTTGGTTTTCACAGCTCAGTGGTCGTACCCAGTCTGTCGGAGACGTTCAGTCATCTCACGCTGGGGTCCATCGATGAAATAGCTGTTGGCTGATAGAAATTTTAATGCGATAGATGTGTGATGTTTTTGTGACATCTTCTCTTCTCGGGTTTTCCTACCATCTTAAAGGAATAGTACACCCAAAACATGATTAGCCTTCATTTTCTACTCACCCCCATGCTGAACAACACTCTGGAGTACTTTTTTGATATCTCAAATGCATCTGGAGATCTGGGAGGCTTCTTGCTGTTTGCTGACATTCAAATAATGGAGGTCCATGGCGCCCGAGACAGAAAGGTCCACAAAGGTCCACAAAAACGTGTCAATATTCCTCCATACTGCTCGTCCAATGTAATCCAAGTGTCCTGAGTGGGTAGCATCCAGAATTTACTCGAAACGAAGTCATTTAGAACGTTTTAGATTCTAAACAGTAGTGTATAGGATTTCCTAATAGCGCCCCCATGCGCGCTCACGATTCTACGGAAGCCGGCAGACCAAACCGGAAGAAAGTGCGCATTCAGCGTCTGCTCTGCCGATAATGCAAGCGTAGAAGAAGAAATGTGCTGTTTACCTATGCAAAGAAAGAAACAACGAAAGAAAAATGTCTGAGGACTTCAGTGATGAGGAAGAGCATGAGTTCTTTGCCGAGCTGAATGCGCTGGTTTGGTCTGCCGGCTTCCGTAGAATCGTGAGCGCGCATGGGGGCGCTATTAGGAAATCCTATACACTACTGTTTAGGCTCTAAAACGTTCTAAATGACTTCGTTTCGAGTAAATTCTGGATGCTACCCACTCAGGACACTTGGATTACATTGGACGAGCAGTATGGAGGAATATTGACACGTTTTTGTGGACTTTTATGGACCTTTCTGTCTCGGGCGCCATAGACCTCCATTATTTGAATGTCAGCAGACAGCAAGAAGCCTCCCAGATCTCCAGATGCATTTGAGATATCAAAAAAGTACTCCAGAGTGTTGTTCAGCATGGGGGTGAGTAGAAAATGAAGGCTAATCATGTTTTGGGTGTACTATTCCTTTAATGCTTAACAGGACAACTACTGGGGCCAAGTCTTTTCATATGTACTGAGCGTTATTTTGTGAGCTTTATCTGAAGGCACCTCTCTGGTTTGGTATATGTGTTACTGGATCAGTAAATCAATTTAAACCTGAGGTATATTAAATAAATCCTGGACCTTCCTAAGGCCATCTAACTATCATAGAATAGAAATGTAACAGCTTTTCATTGCTGTATTTATCTTAGTTTCATTCGCTAATGCATTTAAACGGAAATGATTGAGGAGTGCTCGCTCTGCATCATTGTATTGCATCCATAAACAGTCCCAATACTATTTGGGTGCTTCAGTTTCTTCACATTATAAACATAATAGTCCCACAGCTCAGTCTGTGTTGCCATCAGGCTCTGCTGTTTGATGTCTATGCACTGAAAATCTTTTCAGCTTTTTCCATCTCCTCCTCTTGTCATACATTTCCATTTAGCTCGGCCTCTCAGTGATAGAGATAAATTGCTTTGATTGGAAACATAATTTTTTTTCTTCCCTCTCTCCAGATTTAAACCTTCACTACTTTTGGAGTTGGAGTGCTTTTGAGGACTACCTCCTATTCTGCTTCGGTTTTACTGTGGTGTCTGCTGTGACCACTCTGCTGCTGCTAGACTCCGTCATGTTTGTCGAGGCTCTGGGCTCCCTGGCTGTGATGTTTGAGGCAATGCTGGGCGTCCCACAGCTGCTGCAGAACTTCCAAAACCGTTCCACCAAAGGAATGAGGTACAACGCAATCTGACTCACTGTCTGGGGCAAATAAGCCTAGCTACACGTAAAATAATTAGTCACGTTAAGAACTTTTATTAGTACATTGCACACAAAATGATATTCCTGTTAACTAATTTTAGTTTATAGAAAATTAAAATCCCAAAAATCGGTTTCTCAGAAAATAAGAATATACATCAGACCAATCAAAGAGGATTTTGATCCAGAAATGTGGACCCACTAAACCTGAGGAATAAATTAATGCTTTGCAATCAGGCAGGCAAAAAAAGTTTGCATTTAGGATGCCAGTAGTGGTAACAGCTGATCTGATGTGATGTAAATGTTATCTATGCGAGAAGCTGTTTCAAAAATGTATTTAGATCTCCTTTTTAGTGCTGTTACTACTAGAAACCCTTTCAAGCACATTTTATCCATAAATTTATTATTTAGAGTTTTGTTGTTTCCATCAAGCTCTTCTTATGGTGTGTTTTTCAAACCCCTACCCACGTCACACTGCCCTGCAGGTATTTTTATTGTCTCTCTGCTTTAACACAGCTGATCCAGATGAATGAAGTGCTGCAAAGTCTGTTAATCAGCTCTTAGGAAGCTGTGATCCATCTAAAACATGCAGGGCACTGGTCTAATGTGATAATAATTGTAAAACACTAATAAAAAGACAAGACCTGGCATGAAGGATATCAGCCAGTGATTCTACTGAGATGTTTAGAAAGGCCTGGTTGCATTAATAGCAACCAACAGCTGGCCACCATTGCTAGGTCTGGTTTCTCTTCGCTTCCCATTCACAGTAGTTGCACAGAAGAATTTTTTAACAATAATTCTAAAATCCCATCCCCATTCATTATAAGTGAAAACCACTCTGGGTCTGGGCAAATTAGCTCACGGCTGTTAAACATAATAAACAACGTTATAATGCTTTGCCTAACGGTACTTTCAGAAATAAAATAATTTAGTGAAGTTATCCATTGGTCAGAGACATCACAGCCAGCACTATAAAGTAATAATGGCTGCCGTCCCAGATGGCACTGTATATTGATCGGTCCATAATGTGAACATGTTGCTTATGATGATGCTTCCTTTTGTTTGTCACTCTAAAATTACAGCTACTCAGCATATCTTTTCAACTTTCCAGCTTACTCATCAACACATCTATTTTTGTCTCAGCTAAACTGAAATGGGATTAGAGAAAGGAGGGGAGAACATTTGGCAAAGGTCACCAGGCCAAAGCCCCCCGGTCCTCGCAGGTTTTCTTAGTAACATGGGAAAATGTGAACCATTATAAGTAGTGTTGCACAGATACCGATACCAGTATCGGATGGGGCCCCGATACTGCCCTATAATGGTGGTATCGGTATCGGCGAGTACCAACAAATAGGGCACCGATACCATTTTGAGAGCCATAAGTTTATTCAACTATTGTCACCCACTCCTGGTAGGCAATAAAAAGTTCTACTGGATTCACTTTGTATTAGATTTTTTCCTGCTTCACAAAGGTAGGCAGCAGCTTGACAAAGCCATGATGGCAATTATTTTACATTATTATGGTATCGGCCGATACTGCACAGCCAGGTATCGGGTATTGATATTGGGGCCAAAAAATGGCATCAACGCAATACTAATTATAAGTATATTGAATGAGACCCCCGGTTATTTTACTCCTTAGCCCAGCTTTGTCTGTATTGACAATTTTTATGGTTTGGTATGGCCTAACAAAAGGAAGAGCAATAATCAAATCCCTTTTCTTGGAAATGTTTTGATTCAGTACTCTCTACACAACCACTGTCATTTAGTAACTTACCCTTATTGTGCACCCCTCATCACCACAGCTATTTCTTCCACTCCACTTTCCTGTTGATTACTGCAATCTGTTCATTCTTTTTGAGCTTTTTTATACAGAAAGTAAACCTTTAAAGTATTTGAGATCCCCTTTTGATGTGAACTTCTTAGATAAAGTACCTCAATGATAATATTGTACCTGTGTAGTTTATCTTAATGGGATTTGACTTTTTCAGATTGGTTTATGTATACATAAAAAACTGACACTTTATTTCCACAAAAGGACAGCAAAATCTATAAAGAAAATCAATTCAACATTTAGAGGTGATTCCTGTAACATTCATTTAATCCCTTCAAATGGAACCTCCCCATGAGGTAAAGAGAGACCACAGTGGGAAGAGCCTCTGCTGTTACAGCCATGTCAGAATGTGGAAAGGTCGGTCCAGCTCTCGCGTAGATGACTGTGAGGTTAATTTAGTCCCTAATGAGACAGAACATCATGCTAATTATCACCATTATTTCCTCATTATGCTGCTCCTCCATTGTCAGCAGAAACCGATGCTTACTTATTGTGTGTGTTTGCGAGCAGACAGTTTCATGCTCTGCTGGTTTAACATCTGAAGAAATCCAGCTGTGATTAGAAAGTTCCGATCTTTCTTTCTACCAAACAGCTGCATTGTGTCAGCTCAAGAATAGAGGTTTTTTTATTAGTTAACTGTGATAAAGTGAGAAAAGTGAATTTTTAAATAAACTTTCAGGGTTTGACTTTACATTTAGATATTTTTCTCAGATTATACTCTTTGTCTATTAAATAAAACAATACAACTTTATTTGTAAAGCAGTTATATTCAGAATCAGTCTTTTACACACACACACACACTCTGCAAAAAAACAGTAATTGAATCAAGTTGATCCAACATCATTGATTAAGTTTGTAAATTAAAAATTTAAATAAATTAGGTTGAGATAAAATGATTTGTTTACTTGTTACCATTTGTAGCAATTCAATAAGTCAAGCTGCATTTTTTTGCACAAGGAATTGACATAATAATAATAATGATATAATGTGGAATAAGCAATTCTGAGATGTTTAGGAAGATTTATTATTTATCTATTAATTCATTTATGTCATTATATTACAAATGTTTGTCTTTTTTCTTATTTCAAATATAAAACAAAGAAGAAAAAAACAGAACAAATCAGGAAAAAGAAAAGACCTTATAGTACCCGTCCCATTTCAAAAATTCTCAAACTCCTAAAAATAATATATAACAATTTCCTGTCTTATATATTTATGAATGTTTTGTCATATTTTCTGTTATGACGTATTTTTTTTGTACTGTTCCTTTAATTTACGAACACTTCTAAAATACTTGTAAGAGAATAGCGTGAAGAGCATGTGAATGATTTAATGTCTACCTAAAATAAAGCATAAAAGATAACATGCAAAATGTTCAAAAACAATAAAATCAAATAAGCAGTTGAAGCAACTAAACAGTTAAAAGCAATAAGAACAGCCAACGCCTTAAAATTAAAAGCATAAGAGAAAAAACTTTTTAGGAGATGATTTCCGACAGGAGTGAGTTTGAGTGGAAAATGAGTATTTGACTATACAATATTTCACAGCTCTTGAAAGAAATCTGTTTTCAAGTCTGTGGTTTTGATTTGAATAATTTTCCTGATGGAAGTGGAATAAACAGTTTGTGGCCTGATGGTCACTCAGTAGTAGTAATATGTTTGCCCCTTTTCTGAACCCAGGCAGCACAAACCGTCTAGATCCAAAATCCACTCTGCTGTTTTCACCACTGCCAAGTATTTCCCCTCCGGTGCTGTGGACCTCTACAACCACACAGACCCTGAGACACAGCATGCTTTCTGTTCACACCCTGTAGACGACTATGATCAGTTAGGTAAAATCCAGTGGCTTCCTAAGAAAGAAGATCCGTTGTTGGACTTTATTCACCTGGTGTCAGGAATGAAAATGCCAAGGAACTATAAACTGTGTACATAAAAATGTATGCAGAGGAGCTTTTTGGGTTTTCATATAGACCACCAATGAAGGAAATCTTAATCAAACGCCTACTGTTATGTTTAAAAAATCCCTGCCTAAATGCCCATATTTTTAGATTTTATACAAAAAAAAAAAAAGAAATACTGGAGTTAGGCCGAGTGGCTCATGAATTCTTTCAAAACTACCCATCCGCTCATGGCTTTATTACATCCTGAGTTGACGTGATGTTCTTGAGGTCAGCCAGTCCTCTGAACCTTTTCCAGTTGATGCAGCTACTTGATCCTAATTGGTGATGCTACAGTGTGATATATATGCTAAAAAGAGAAGCAGTGTGAGAAGATCTATTATTTACAATGTTGACTAAAATGACGAAAATGACAAAAGTTACTAAAATATAACTAAGACTAAAATTTATTTTCATCATTGTGACTAAGACTAAATAAAAAAAAAGCCTCCTCTAGATACATGTGTGTTTTAAGAGTTCATTTTAAAGGTCTCATATTTGTCTTTAAAGGTTTAGACGGTCTTTCCTGGTCTTACCCCTTAGAGCTGGATCAGGTCAGCTGATTAGCTGCTCCTGGAGGTGTTGAGATCTAAGATGCTCAGAGGGGACAAAACCTTTAGTGCCCCAGAATATGTGATAATCTCTGTTTCATTTTAGACGTGTTCTTTAACATTCTGCTTTTAAAAACTATAAAAAAGCATTTTTTAGTTCTTTAATTTTGCCTCTAGGTTATTGTTTTAACTCTGGCTTTTATTGTTCCATTGATTCTGTTGATGTTCTTAGTATTATTTCCTTGTTTTATCTTTATTTTTACATGTGCAGCACTCTGATGCAGCTTTGGTTGTTTTAAAATGCTATATAGGTAAAATGAAGTGAAATACCTGGCGTTTCTTCTGAACGTTTCTTTCTGTGAAGATTTTTTTCTGCTGTTTTAGTCATAGTGAGGCTTCTGGTAAAATGATAAACATGTTTGGTTCAGCGCATCATTATCTGATTCTGTTCATCCCCGCCTGTATGATTTTTCTGCACATACTGTCTTCATTTCTTTTACATCCTGCGGTCATGTTTAGGTCGCCCCCTCATGGTTTTCTCAGAATGAAACTCCTGCACACATTATTCACAGAAGAAAGATGTGAGGCGTTAGCCTAAGAGCTGACTTTCTGTTCTCTCAGTAATTTAACAAACTGAACATGTCCTCAGGGTGTGCAG